CTACTCCCTGAGTCTGGCCTCTCGGCTCGCACCCGCCTACAGCTGGCTTGGTACCTCCTGGTGGCCAGCTGGCTGATGGCCCAGGCTGTCCGTTGCTGAAGAGAGTCCTGGGAAGAGGAATAGAGTTCAATCTGGAGCAAGGGCTCTGCTTCCCTGTTCCCTGTGCCACGGTTTGGATTCAGTTCCATCGCCCCATGAGGTCACACAGCCGAATGGCTGCCCTTGAGGGCGGATCCTGTCCAAGCTCCTGCATAGCTGCGACCTTCCGTCCCACCACCTTGCAATATTCCATTATGCTTGTCTTCCTTTGATTACTCATGAGAGACGCTTTAAAAAATCATTCTTCTTCTAGTCTATGTGTATGGGCATTTTGTCTGCATGCACGCCTGTGTACCATGTGCATGTCTAGTGCCCACAGAGACCAGAGAGGGTATCGGGTCCCCTGGAACTGGAGTTACAGACATGTAACACCCATGCTCACCCACTTCTGGTCTATGCTAGTCTGTCATTTTCTCAATTTCCCTGGACTGGTTAGAAATGGTTAACCCTGTCTCCCTGCCTGCTGGCTCCTCTTTGCTACCTCACTGTTCTCTGTAGCAAGCATATGTTGCCATCCAAAAGATTATACATTTTACTTCTTTTATTGCCTGCTTCCTCCCACTAGAATGAAAGCTTCTTAAGAGTAAAGGGCTGGTGCTGGAGAGATGGTTCAGTGGTTAAGAGCACTGGCTGCTCTTCCAGAGGTCCTGAGTTCAATTCCCAACAACCACATGATGGCTCACAACTATCTATAATGAGATCTGGTGCCCTCTTCTGGCATGTATGCAGAACACTGTATACATAATAAATAAATAAACCTTAAAAAAAAGTGAAGGATTTTTTTTTGTCATTTTTACTCACAGTACTGTTTCCAGCACCTGAAACTGATATGTTTTACTCAGTATATATGATGGATGGATGGATGCGAAATATGAAGTCTAAAACCATCAGAAAATCTAGAGTTGATTTAGATGGAGATTGTTTTGAGGGCATAAAGACACCGGTCTGCCTCACATTCTTCTTTCCATCTCCACATCTGCACCCAAGCCCCCTCATGTCGGGCAGCCCACGCCGCTCACCGGTCTGCTGTGGTGGGGGCGACACCTGATACGCAGCACTGAAGCCAGGACGATCACAAAGATGGTGCCCACCACAGTCAGGAGGATCCACACGTCGTAATCTGGCTGGGGATGTGGGGAGAAGCAGAGAGGAGAAAGGGTCACCCTCCAGAAAGAGCCAGGTCAAGGTGCAAGGGAACACTGGAGTAGAGATGGAGATGGAGGGTCCCCTGGGCCTTCCACCTGAGGGATGAATGATGGAACTGGAAGGACCAGGTGCTCTCTCTGCCTTGGGGCTGCAGGAGAGGGGGCTGGAGCTGCAGCAGTGAGACCCCTTATCCCGGAAACTCATGTGTTTGCAACCAGAGGCGGAAAGAATCTCTTTGTACAGTGGGATGGGAGCTACTTGCTGGAGAGAGGTGGGGAGTGGAGAGGCACCCGCCAGGGGTCAGAACCTGGGCTTCCGCAGGCAGGCAGGCTTCTGTACTCTATGCCATAAAACCACAGAGTTGAAAACAGACTCAACAGACCCAATCTGTTTTACCCTGCAGACGAGGCTCAGAGAGCAGAAAAAATTCCCAGAGACACGTGGCTAAAGGCTGACTGGTCTAGAGGGTTTCCAGGGAGCAGGCACAAGGCTGCTCAGATGCAAGACAGATGCAAGGCGCTTACCCAGGTTGGGGGCTCCTTCAGCTCAATCCTCACATGGGCCTTCCGGTTCTTGTACACAAACTCCATCAGCTTCTCGGCATCCTTACCCCAGATCAGCACCACTGGCCAAGTCAGTCCCAGCGGCTGCTGCAGCTGCAGAGAACAGAGTTCCACAGGGTTCTTGTGACTTCTGCTTCCCCCAGGAACCATACCTCCCTCCCTCCAAACCCTTCCTGGACCACCCGCCTGTCCCTAGGCACCTGCTCAGCCGCTGATCGATCCTCGGTGATGTCAAAGAGCACCGCACTAGCTCCACGCTCGCCAGCCATTCGGGCCTGCAGAGACACAGCCGAGGGTTATCACAGTCCGTCACAGGTGGCTCTCAACCCTGAACACAGGTATCTCTGAACCCTGTACACGCACAGGTATGTGTGCGAGGAGTCGAGGAGCCTGGGAACCCTGGCTGACAACCCAGCCCACTGCCTTCAAAGAACAACATTCAGTCTTTCATTTTGAAATGGAACACCCACCCAGGTTTTAGTGGGTGCCGGTAAACCAGCTTTGGCTCTAGGGTAAGATAAGCCCCTGCTCAGGGATCAAGCAGTGTGAGAACAAAGAGCAGGGAGTGACCAGCGGCTGGAAGAGGATAGAGAGGGAATGGGGAAAACAGAGAAAGACCCAGCCCTGCTTCTCCAGAGGCGGCTGTGGAATGTCACCCATCAGGAGTGAGACCAAGTGCTGAGAGCCTGGGACACTGTTCCATAACATAACAGATCCCCCCACCTCAGTGGTCACCCAGGGGCGATCTCTCCAGCTTGCCAAGCTCTCTGGTTCCGGATCAGGGACTTAAGGAGGCCTTGCCCAGTTCTTGATTCCTTTGTCCTCTCCCTTAGGATGGCTGGATTGGACAAGGATTGAAAGACTGTGCACAGGTACACACATGTATTCTCCAAGGGCTCCAAGAGTGCGTCTGAGGCAGTACAATCTAGCCAGCCACGCAGCAACGCAGCAGCACAGATAAAAACAAAAGAGGGAACAAGAGGAGGGAATCTGGGGCCTGTGTGGGGTGAGAGATGGAAGATAAGTGCACAACAGCAACAACTAACCGACAAGGACGGACACTGGGAAGGTTCCTGAGCAGGGAATCGAACCCACCAGACCACCTCCTGTGCTACCTCCCACCCACCCAGGGACCCTGCTGAGTCTCTGGGGCCTTCCGACAGGCAGTGAAGGAGTTAACCCTTCTGCAAGTCACAGTGGCAGGAAGAGGAGTCTGTGCTGGGACTTACAGTCCCAGAGCTTTGATCTGTGCTCCCTTCCCTGGGAGAGCCTGTTGGAGCAGGTCCCCGGCCAGGCAGGCTGGGAGCAGCTTGTTCTCCACTCTCCCCAGTGGCAGGGACTAGTGGGCCCCTCAGAACCAGCTACGTGCAGGCAGGGGACAGGGAGAAGGCACTGAGACACTTAAGCGGGGGTGGGAGGGGCTATTTTGGTTAGGATAACTTTCCTTTCTTCTCTCTTGCTCCAGGGAGCTGGGCTGGTCCCTCTTCGGACCCTGCCTAGGACCCCAAGTCCTGAGGAAATTCATGGACTCCACAATGAACAGACTGGGGAAGAAATTGAGAAACTGCAGCTTAACCACTTCCTCCCAGAAAGCCTAGCCAGCTCCAAACACATCTTCAGGGCCCTCCAATTTCGGGCTTTCAATAAGTGTTGACAGGGAGTGGCCTCTGTCTTTAATTCCAGCATTTATGAGACAGAGGCAGACAGATCTCTGAGCTCAGGGCCAGCCAGAGGGAGTTACAGGACAGCCAGGGCTATGCAGAAAAACACTGTCTCAAAACAAACAACAACAACAAAAAGAAGTGTTGGAAAAGGAACCCCATAGGGGAGCCTGCTGTTGATCTAATAGTCCAGGGATGGGCGAGGAGTGGGTTGGGAAATTCAGTAGTCACAGAAAGATTCCCATACCCAAGGTTCTGGGCTCAGTGTGGCCCAGAAGAGTATGGGGGCTCCCTTCTTTGGAGATTTTCTTACTTCTTCATCCAGCTCTCTTTGAAGAATTGGGTAGGAACAGTAGAAAGCAATTACTGTGAGGTTCAAACACCCTAGCCCATTACAGCCCATAATTACAAAGTTGTAAAAGTGATCAAAGAGCCCAGAGCGTTTGCCAACAGGAGAATATAAACAGGACTTTCTGGCAGTGGATTCCTGTGTCCGGAGTTCAAGAGACAGAAAGCAAGATTTGGGGATGGATGGCAGTCCAACCTGGGGCTCTCTGAGCCTCCTGCCAACTTGCACCCAAGAGTAGGAGTTACCTATGGAATAGCTCTTTGAGGAGTGAAATCTGGAAGACAGGGAGGATGGGCAAGCTCCCACAACCTGAAATCAAGCTTCAGAAAGACAGCCATGTCCTCTCTGGGATGCTACAGGGTGGGCCAGACCCTGGGCCAGCAGGCACAACTGCACCAGGAGCCGGCTCAGAGCATACAGAGAGGGAGCTGGAATCCTGTCTTTCGGTCCATTAGTCGATTGTTAGGTTTTCCTCTACAGACCACAGTGACTGTTTCTGAACACGGCCTGCTCATCCGTAACACAACAACATCCACTATGCCCACTAAGCCAAGAAGCTCCGGACTCTGTGCACACCACACTAGAATGCTCGGGCTGGGGAGATGGCTCAGCTGTTAAGAGCACGGGCTGCTCTTCCTGAGGTCCTGAGTTCAATTTCCAGCATCCACATGGTGGCTCACAACCATCTATAATGGGACCCGATGCCTTCTTCTGGCCTGCAGGTGGGCATGCAGAGCAGTCATACATAAAATATAAATAAATAAAATTTAAAGAAAAAATGGTTTAAAAAAAAACCTAGACTGCTTGTAACGATATTCTAGCATACATGAAAGGAACAGAAAATGGCCGACACCTTTTACTTCTGAATGCCCTCTACCATCTGGTCCCCTGTCCGACACAAACACTCAACACACAAAACAGATAAATGTGAAGCAGCTCCCTCTGGGGGTGGGAGGAAGGGAAAGTACTTTAGTCCCCCTGCCCCCACCCATCACCCCCCCTCCAAGAAACACAGACTTAGTACGACATTTTGTTGAAGTCCATTTGGTCAAAGACCCCCATCTGCTGGGAGGAGTTCCATCCCCACAGGGCTGGGTCAGGCTGGAAAGAGTCAGTAGGATGAGCCACACTAGGCTGCGCTCAAGAGCATGGGAGAAGGAAGGAGAAGGCAGAAGCTTCTTACTGAGACCTGCCCTGCCCAGAGGGCTGAGGAGGAGACTCCAGCTCTGCTCCCACCAGGAGCTGTGAGACTTTGGGGGAAACTCCACGGCGCTTCTGTTTTCTTTTCTGTAATCTGGGGCAATAACAGACCCCGCCTCATAGAGCTACTATGTGAACTACATTAATTAATCCACGTAAAGTACTTAGGTTTGGGCCGGGCACACGGTGCTATTATATCAACTACTATATGTGGCTCGCATACACGAGTTTATTTATTCCTTAGTATTCTCTAGGAAACCAAGACTCAGAGGGCCTGAACTGGTCCATGGACACTAACTGATAAACAGTGAAGACTCTTCACCATCATCTTGGACTTCAGCCCCCAGAGTGCCTTCTCTTTCTGTTTTGTTCTGTCTTCGTCAAGGCAAGGTCTCATTATGTTGCCCAGGCTAGCCCCAAACTCAGCACCCTGCTCCGTCAGTATTCCTGCATGCCGTGATTACAGGTATGTGTCATCATGTCCCGCTTGAGAGGGCCTTCTCTTAGCCGCTGGCTTGGTGGCCATCTTGGTACCCAGCGGCTTGCCTATCTAATTCCTTCTGTGTTTGTCCAGGTATCACAGGAGACTTGGGACTGATAAAGAGGCAGACACCACTCCAGGTGACTGGATAGGGACAGAAAAGTCCAGAAGAATCATGGCGAGGGTTTCAGAGAAGACCAAGTGAGATAAGCAGTTTTAAAAAAATCAAAAGCAGCTTTTGTGAACTGTAGAGCATATGAGGAAGACTGCTCAGTGGGGAACACACATTTAGCGTGTGCAAGGCTCTGGGTAAGACTGCTCAGTGTGGAACACACATTTAGCGTGTGCAAGGCTCTGGGTAAGACTGCTCAGTGTGGAACACACACTTAGCGTGTGCAAGGCTCTGGCTTCAATACCCAGAAAAATCAAAACAAAATGAGACAAAATAAGCGAACAGCTGGTACTGTCATGTATGTCTGTGACGACACGCTGGTCACTGTGATCACTTACTGGAAGATTACCATTGTGCTTAGCACTGGATTATGAGTTTGCATCTGTACTGTCTCCTTAAATCCTCACCCTAGAGCAGGAGAGGTGGCTCAGTGATTAAGAACATAGGCAGTTCTTTCAGAGGACCCAGGTTCAAGTCCTTGCACCCTCATGGTGGCTCACAATGATCATGACTTCAGTTCCAGGGGATCTGATGCCCTCTCCTGGCCTCTTGAGGTCACGAGGCATACACATGGTACACAGACATGCATGCCGACAAAACACCAATGCACATAAAATACTCCTTTCTTCCCTGCCCTCCCTTCTCTTTCCTTTAATTTATTCATTTTTTGAGAGGGTCTCTTCAATCTAAGGTTAGGCTTGAACTTGCTGTGTGTGTGTGTGTGTGTGTGTGTGTGTGTGTGTGTGTGTGTAGCCAAGGATGACCTTGAACTCTTAATCCTCCTGCCTCTATTTCCTGAGTGCTGGGATTACAAGCATGTACCACCACACCTGATTTATCATTAATATTAAGGGAAAACGAGAACAGGAACCAATTTGGGTTAGTGATTTTCAGTTTTTTTTTAATATTTATTTATTTATTATGTATACAATATTCTGTCTGCATGGATGTCTGCAGGCCAGAAGAGGGCACCAGACCTCATTACAGATGGTTGTGAGCCACCATGTGGTTGCTGGGAATTGAACTCAGGACCTTTGGAAGAGCAGGCAATGCTCTTAACCACTGAGCCATCTCTCCAGCCCCGATTTTCAGTTTTTTTTTCTTTACCAGAGACCTTATCTTTTCCTTACATGTCCTACGAACTGTAATTGTGTGTGTGTGTGTGTTCCACTAAACTAGCCATATATAATATTCATCTTGTTATATAATTTGTATTAATGTGCTGAACTTAAGAGAATTCTATAAAGCCAAAGCAAAATAAAGTATTTTAGTTTAGATTTTGAGATTCCTGAGACAACAAAAGTACCTAGAACACCCTTATTACTAACCTTACAGACCTCTTTTGAGCAGGACACCCTAGGCAAACAGTTGGCCAAGTTAGATGACAGGAGCCGTTTGGCATGCTTGGGAAAAGGGCAATTCTCTTAGCAATGACTGAGAAGCCAGGTGTGGGGGTTCGTCTGACTGTCAATTTAACTGGGCTGAGAAGCACCTAAGAGATTAGCAAAGGGTACCTCTGGGTGTGTCTGCGAAGATGTTTCCAGAGAGCTTAATTAAAGGGGAAGACCTGCTCTAGTGTGAGCAGCAGCATCCCAAAGACTGAGGCCACAGATGGAATGGAAGGGAGGAAAGGAGAAAGCACACTAACACAGCGTGTGTGTGTGTGTGTGTGTGTGTGTGTATGTGTGTGTGAGACCTGCAGAGGTCGAGGAAAAAGCCTCCTGCATAGAAGCACCCTTACAGTCGGCCAGTGTAGATAGTGTAGTCACAGAATGTGTTAAAAGAACTGCAGGAAGCTGGGTGTGGCGCAAACCTGTGAATGTCTTCAGCAAGTATAGGTTGTGAGTACCTATGCAGGCCTGTGAGTATCTTCTGCCTTAATATTATTTTAAGCTTTTATTTGTTTTATTTTTTGGAGACAGGGTTTCTCTGTGTAGCCCTGGCAGTCGTGGAACTCTTCCTGTAGACCAGGCTAGCCTTGAAGTCAGAGGTCCGCCTGCCTTTGCCTCCCAAGTGCTGGGATTAAAAGCGTGCACCACCACTGCCTGGTTTATTTCCAGTTTTTAAATGTGGCAACTAATTTACATTTTAGTGGGAGGTATTTTGTTTTGTTGTTTGAGCTTTTGTTTTGTTTTAATTTTGAAGCAGGGTCTCATATAGCCCAGGCTAGCCTCACACTCACCGTGTGAGTGAGGTGACCTTGACTTTCTAATCATCTTGCCTTTATCCTGGAGGGCCGGAATTATAAGCATGTACCACCAAGCCTGACTTTATGAAACGTCAGAGAACAAAGCCAGGGCCTGTGCAATCTAGGCCAGCTGAGCCATACCCCCAGCCCTAATTTACATATGACCCTTGTGTAAGCCAAAATCATCTTGCAGGCCTAAAGTTAACAAAGCTCACAGGAAATGTGTACACATCGTAGGGAGAGCAATAGCTTCCACTTGGCTGTTTTGTTTTCCTCTTTTGAGCCAGCGTTTTTGTTATACAGCGCTGGCTGAGCTGGTGTTTACTCTCCAGCCCGAGCTGGCCTTCAGCACACAATCCTCGCTCGGCCTCCTGCGTGCTGGGACCTCAGGCACAAGCCACCAAGTTCGGCTGTTTTGCTGTTCTTGTGAAAGTGCTCAGCAGATGTTTCTGAAGTGTGAAAAACAAACCTTCAAGTGACACCCCACCCTGTGCCACCCACCTGATCTGCTCTTGTGCTGAGGAAGGGAAAGCCCTCAGAACTTCTAAGAAATGGAGTGGGGTGAGGCAGTGGGAGCTCATGCTGGGATGAAACTCAAAATCCTGGGCCCGCCTGGTAGAAAAACAAAAGTGTGGATTTCTACCGCTCTCGGATGGGTTGAGAACTAAGGGAACTTGAGGAATCAGGCTTAGCAATTTTTGTTGTTGTTGTTGTGGGTTTTTTTTTTTTTTTTGAGACAGAGTTTCTCTGTGTAACAGCTCTGGCTATCCTGGAAATCACTCTGTATACCAGGTTGGCCTCGAACTCACAGAGATCCACCTGCCTCTGCTTCCCAAGTACTGGGATTAAAGGTGTGTGCTACCACTGCCCAGCCAGGTTTAGCATTCCTTAAAAAAAAAAAAAAACACGCTATTTTATGTATATGTGTATAGATGATATGTATGGTGTCTGTGTACCACCTTTCTCCTGGAACCCGTGGAGGCCAGAAGAGGGCATCAGATCCCTTGGAACTGACTTTCAGATGGTTGTGAGCCACCAAGTGGTGCTGGGAAGAGCAGCCAGAGTTCTTAATCACTGAGCCATCTCTCCAGCCTCGAGGTCTTAGGTCTTATCGTTCTAAGAGACAAGGGGACAAGGGAGCACAGCGTCCCCCAGCCCAGTGCTGGGTGCAGCTGAGGACATGTGGTTTGAGGACGGGTGCTGTGAGACTCTACCTTACTGGCCAGTGACAGGCAGGGCCGAGGAGCCCTTCGAGGACTCTCCAGCTTGACGATGCTGATGAATCCAGGCTCCAGGTTGTCGTCGTCACTGGCGTTGCACAGGTACAGCGGGTGGGACTGCAGAGAGACAAAGACCTGGGTTAGAGGGGCTCTGGGAAGCAGGTGCGAGGCCTGGGTTAGAGCAGGTATGAGCTACGGACAAGAACCAAGCACATCTACATTATTCTAGGCAGGCTCCAGGTTGGCCTCTTTTAAAAAGGTATTTAAAAATAATGTGTGTGTATGTGCGCGCACGCGTGCATGTGTGCATATGTGGATGTGAGCACATGCTCCATGGTGTGTATGTGGGGGTCAGAGAACAAGTTCCAGGGATTGTTTTTCTCCTTCTGCCATGGGGTCTAGACTCAAGCTCAGGTTGCCAGGCTTGCACTACATGAACTTTTACCTGCTGAGCCATCTTGTTGGCCATGAGTAGGTCTCTTGCTACTAGAAAAGAGTAGACCTTCACTGGGCATGGCGGCTGATGCCTGTAACTCCAGAACTCAGAAGGCAGAGGCAGGGGGTTTGCCAGAAGTATGAGGCCAGCCTGGGTACACAGCGAGTTTCAGGCCACCATATTGCAAGAAGAGTGAATCTTATTGCTGGAGAGCTTCATATTAAGCTAGTAATCACTCTTTGTGACTTCAAAGGTGCTGAGGGTACAAGGGATGGGGGATGGGAAGGAGGAGCATCGCAGACAGGACCTAAATGAAGAACCTGCTGTGCAGCAGCTGCAGGACCCTCAAGCCATACTTTTCTAAACAGACCAACTGCAGATGGCTCCTCTTCTGAGCACAGTGTCTCCTGATCCTTCTACTTGCTCCCAAACCTCCAGGTTCTGAGAGTGCTCCTGTAAGCTCCAGACTCAGGGAGTGCTCCTGTAAGCTCCAGGCTCAGAGAGTGCTCCTGTAAGCTCCAGGCTCAGAGAATGCTCCTGTAAGCTCCAGGCTCAGGGAGTGCTCCTGTAAGCTCCAGGCTCAGAGAATGCTCCTGTAAGCTCCACGCTCAGAGAGTGCTCCACTGATCCTGCCTCTGTGCCTTCTGTCCTTGAGCCTGGAGGCAGTGTCAGGTGCTGCGATGCTGTTTTGGGATGCCTCAACAGCTGTTGCCCTGCAGATTCTGGCCTGTGTCTTCTAACTCAGTGTACCTGCCCCTCTTTCTCACTTTCCTGTGAGTGCCCTGTGCCCATCATGGGATCAAGCAAGCTGCTGGAGGAGGCTGTCTTTGGATGAAGCTGGGCCAAGACTTAGGGACTGGCCAACACAATTCCTGGGCACAGGAATGATGCAGTAGAGATGGGACTAACTCTGTCTATTAGCTCTAGGACTATGGAAGGTCCAATCCAAGACGGTACCTCTAAGGCAAACTGGTACAGAATCATGACTAAAGGGAAAACGGACCAGCTGTGTGAACGAAATCCTGGGACCCCTTCATCAGAGAAACGAGATCCTTCACTTAACAATCTTATTCCATAGTATTCTTTGATAACATTTTATTTGTTTTCTGTGCACGTGTGTCATGCACACCATGGTGTGTATGTGGAGGAGGTCAGAGGACAACTGTGGACACCCGTTCTCTCCTTCCACCACGGGGATCCAAGTGATTGGACTTGGGTCATCAGGCTTGATGACAACTCTGTTGAGCCATCTCACCTGCTCTTTATTTAAGACAATTCTAAAATATATCTGACTCTGAATTTCCCAAAGTGCTAAGAGAACCAAGTAGTATTTGCTTGTCCCTGGCGTCCCATGTCTTGGCCAGAGAGTGATTCCTACAAAGGGGTGGTTAGTACTTCGCTCTCTACTGATGCTAAAGTTTGAAGTTCTTTCAGAACGAGCCATCAGAGGGAGCACAGGGAATTTCAAATTGATGATGATGATGTCCACTATGGGTTGAAAACCGTAGTAACTTTCCGAAAGCTTTCTCATGCTCATCTCTTACTGACTCAAACCTGGTAGGTTCTCAATCAATATTTACGATGTCTCTTTGCATTGTGGCCTTCATAAGAACATCTTGGGGAGGTAGCAGGGGTCCTATGCTTATTTCCAGAATTTAAGGGCTACTGGCCTGGCGGTGATGGAGGCTCAGTGTGGGAGAAAGGTTACACTCTTGTCTCCAGAAATGAACGGCATGAGGCTGGGCTGTGTTCTTTTCAATGAGTACCGTGGCTTCAGTCTGCCTATCCAACCATCCACCCATTCCGTGTGTGTGTGCGCGCACACACATGCATGTGCGTGTATGTGTGTGTGTGTGCATGTGCATATGTGTGCAATTCATTTTGTATGTATGTGCACATGTGAGTGTGGGTCAGAGGTTGACGCTGAAAGCCTCAATCAATTGCTTTCCACCTTACTTTTATAGATTGGTTTCTCATTGAGCCTGGAGCTCGTCAACGAGGCTAGCCCGGCTGGCCAGCATGCTCCCAGGGACCTGCCTGTGTCTGCCCCCACGCACTGAGACTACAGGTGAGCAGCGCCGTACCTCACCTTTTTGTTTTTAAGGTTTATTATTTCTATTTTGCCTGTATGAATGCTTGTCAGAATGTGTGCAACTCGTGTACCTGGTGCCTGAGGAGGCCAGAAGAGGGCATCAGATCCCCCAAAACTCGAGTTGTAGACAGCTGTGAGCTGCCATGTGGGTGTTGGAAACCAACCCAGGTCCTCTGCCAGTGTTCTGAACTGAGTAGCCATCTCTTCAGCCAGCACTCAGCTCTTTAACACGGTGCTGGGCACAGAATCCCAGTCCTCACGCTGCACAGCAAGCGCTTTCCTGATCAAGTTGTCCATCTCCCAGCCCTCCATTCATTCTTCAATTCCACCAACCCTGCAGGCTCCTACTGAGGCTAGCGTGGTCAAGAGACTACTGGAGGATATGAGAAGTAGAGACTCGAGGTTCCAGATGAGGAATGGAGCATTTATTGCAAGGGTGAATTGATAGCTTTATCAGAGGCTGACTGAATATGTGCTCACCCAAAAGACCAACAAAGAGAAGAGGGAGGAGAGGTCGTTCCCAGCAGAGGAAGCCACCTGTCCTGAAAACACAGACTGAGACAGAACTGTGGGAAGGCGGGGTAGGTGTGAGCAGGATGGCAGGGGACGGGCAACAGGAGCCAGCCCACGCCGTGGAGACCACAGACTTGTACACAGGAGGACTCCCCCGCTGATTCCAAGGAGCCTGTGTGGAGGAGAGTCGGACACGGCTGTGCCAAGCGAGCAGAAATTCCTGGGACGTAGAAATTAGTCACAGAAGTCCACTGCTTTGACTAGCTTGCCCTCCCATCACAGGCCAGCTCTCTAAGACCCCCAACACACACACACACACACACACACACAGAGAGAGAGAGAGAGAGAGAGAGAGAGCGCAGAGGGCAGATCTAGAAAGGGAAGCTTTGCAGAGATTTACCCAGCACTCCGTCCCTAAGCCTCAGCGGAGCACAGCATCAGTCATGTCGGAGGATGCATCTGGCAAGGGGGAAGAGGAGTCCAGGAGTCAGAATCAGCAGAATTGCTGAACCGGCAACCGAGAACAAGAATGGGGGGTGACCGGCCTTTGTGCCGCCTGCCTTCCGGGGCTTCAGCCTTACTCCACTGCGAGGCAGGCCTTGCCTCCTGTATAAAGAAGAGCCTGCGGCTCAGAGAAGCCAAGCTCACACAAGACTAGCTTTTAGCTTGTCGGACTCCATCCTCTCCTGTCACGGAGCTCAATATGAATGCACAGTATCACTGTGAGGCAGAAGCTATTGTTGACCCTCCTTTGAAGATGAGGAACTGAGGCACCAGAAGGTTAAGAGTACCACAGTTGGTAACGGACACCACATCAGAGGGAACCTAATAGTAGAATAAGTCAAAGGAGAAAAACGTGGGAGAGCTGGGTATAGTGTCACATGTCTGTAAGACAACACTAGAGGACCGAGACAGAAGGAAGGCCACGGGTTCCAGGCCAGCCTGAGCTACACAGGGAGTTCCATGCCAGCCTGAGCTTCAGTGTTCACATTTGGCTCTGAAAGCATGATATCCTTCCCCAACTCATAACCAAATCATTTGTCTTACTAATTATATGGGGGTATTTTCTGTTGTCTAAGACTTTGTAGACCAGCAACTTGCATGCAGTAAGCTTCCTGTCCCTGCCTCCCAAGTGATATTACAAGTGTGCAGCATCATGACCTGCCAATTATATGTCTATAAAGTCAAAGGGCTCAAAGACGAGTTCCTAGAATGCCGTTGACCCCACCCCCCCCAGGATGTTGTCCTGGGTACTCTTTACACATTCTTTGAGTCACCCCAACAACCTCACAAGCATAGTACTCCACTTACTGCCTCATCTTGAGCGCCAGATCCCTAGGTTCTAACGTCCCTGCATCCTTCTGTGTGAAGAACCGCAAATAGATACCTCAAACCCAGCCTGCTCAAGACTGACCAGATCACTGTATAGTCTGAAACTGGGTCTCCAGTGTCCCTTGTCCTGGGGATCAGAAGCAGGATCTACCTGTCACCCAGTCAGGGGCTACCCACCCTGCCTCCTCTATTTCCTTCAAACATGAAAATGGGAGAAATCAACAAATAAACTGGGCATGGTGGCACATGTCTTTAATACCAGGACTCAGAAGGCAAGAACAGGGGGATCTCTGTGAGCTCAAGGCCAGCCTGATTTACAAATGAGTTCCAGGACAACCAGAGCTATACAATGAGACCTTACTGAGAGAGAGAGAGAAAGAGAGAGAGAGAGAGAGAGAGAGAGAGAGAGAGAAAGGAAGTCACCAAACTTGGTCGGTCAGTTCACTCACCAAGCAGAGAGGAACCATCATTTTAGGTTCATCATAAAGTAGAAAGCTCAGGGATCCAATTATCTATCTGCCTCTTTACTCCTGTTTCTTCCCAATCAGTCCAGGTCCTTAGTTACAGTTGCCATCACAGTTGCTACCCAGAATCACTAGAAACTTCTTAACTAGGCTTGTCTTACCCCACTCACCCCTCTGTATTGTGGCAAAGTGGCTCCAGCGCTAACTTGAGCTTGCTTGCCTGTTTGGAAGCTCTCAGTGGGCTCCTCATAGCTCTTGGATGAAGTCTGCAGCCTTAAACGCCTGGCCTGGGCTCGGGGGATATGGCTCACTGAGTAAAAGCATTTGCTGTGTCGGCCGTGATCTTGGAACCCACATAACCCACGTAAATGCAGGAGGAGGTAATCGACTCTACAAAGTCACTTATCTGACATCCACATGTGTGCTATGGCATGCATGCCCACACATATAAATCATGAGTATGTGCGTGCCCACCAGAGACACACGGACACAGGTTTTAAAGGCTGTGCCTGAGCTGCCTTGCCTTGTGGCTTACTCTCTCTTCCTAATACTCCCGCCCCCGCACTTTGTGTCCAAAAATAACAACCTGCTCTACTTCCCTAAACACACTCTTGGCATCTGCAGACTGGTCCTGTATTTCCCTAATCACAGTGTTTTCCCACTGTGGCGAATCTGTCTGCTGTCTTCCCTACCCAGCCCTCAGGCCACCTGTCCCCCACTGTCCTGTCAGTGACCGCTGGACATGGGGTACCCAGGATTTACTGACAACCAGAGGACTAGCAGATGACTCCTAAGACAACAGAGTGTACACCAAAAACCCTGGCAATGGTTGCTCTGGAAAAGACACAGAGAGAGGAAGTGGTAAGGGAGGGTTATGGCGCTGGAAGGAGAATGAACAATGGCTTTCTGTACTTCCTGCCTTTTCTCTCCTTCACCCCTTGCCCTAGGAGCATTTGCCACACGCCAACGCTGGCTCACAGCTCCTTTCCTGGCTTTGGTGAAAGGTGAACTCTCCGAGGAAGTGCAAATGTCCCAAAGACAGAAAGAAGTGGAGTGCGGAGGGAGGGTCCTGCCTCTAGAACCTTAAAGGGGTGAGGAGGAGTCTAGGCTGGACCCCAGAAGGCGTGTGGTCCCTGTCGAATGACTGAGCAACAGGTATGGGGAGACTGGACCCCAGGAGAAAACGTGTATCCACTCAGATTCTCCCCCTTTCCTTCTCCTTTCCCTCCTGTCTCTTCTTTCTTTCTAAGACAGGGTGCTGTGTAGCCCAGGTTAGCCCCAAGCTCAATATGTAGTGGAGGATGACTGGATTTCTGATCTTCCTCCCCCTACTGAGTGCTGGGGTTTCAGACATGTGTCGCCCCCTACCCCCGGTTGATTCAGGGCCGGGGGTAGAACTCAGGGCTTCATGATGCCACTTAATCAACTAAGCTATATCCAAACTTTTTTTTCCTCTCTCAACGCTGGTGCCGGGGCCCAGAGCCATGTGTATGCTAGACAAATGCTCTTCCACTGAGCTACAGCCCCAGTGCTTTCCCCTCTGATCTCAAAGGGAACCTGCGTCTGGGTAACAGGTGTTTGTGGTAATGAGCACAGGCATCGGGTTCCTTAGCTAAGGTAGGTTTCTTAAAACTCTGGGCATTTGTGCCTCTTCCTTTTTGAAGGGAAGCTACCTTGCACTCACCCTGAGAGATGGGGCCTTGGAAACAGATTTAACAGAAAATATGTGACCTTTCTTGTACAGTCCAATTAGTAGTGTAAGAAACACGTTCACCACATTTTTGCACGGTTTGACTTGGTTACCATGAGAGCTTTGCAAGTATCCTCAGATTAAAAATGAAAACCAGTCATTCTCACCAAGACTGTTCATTACCTAGCTAGGAAGCTTGCTGCCCTGTGAACACAGAGGCAGCCTTCACCCATCCTTCCAGGCATTCCAGCCCAAGGCGGGATCCTGGGGAGAGAGCAGACCTAGGGGCATTCACCTCCTCAGGATGCCTGGGCTCCTAATCACAAATAGGAAGTTGTTGGCCTGCCCATTCTTTCAGTGATACCAGAAGAGGACCAAGTGCTTTTTAGATTCAGTGAGAATGCGGCTGGGCAGGGCTCCCAGAAACTGAAGGAATTTAAGAATTGGTGGGTGGTGTGTGTTCCCAAGAGAAGCCATGAGTTGAGATGGGATACCCCTGTCCTAGAGTTACCATGAGGGAGGTCCAGATCACTCAGGTTTAGAACTGGCTTTGCGCACACTTACACCCCTCGGCAAAGACACGAAAACTGGTGTCTCTCTTTCTCTCTCTGTGTGTGTATGTGTGTGTGTGTGAGAGAGAGATGTTATAATCTTTTTGTTCTAAGAGGCATAGTCTTGCTATGGTGCTTAGGATTGCCCTGAACTTCTGGGCTCAAGGGACACTCCTGCTTTAACCCCTGGAATAGCTACGGCTCCAACTGTGAACTCCGATGTCCATGTTTTGTTTTAGAGATAGGTAGGGTCTTGCTGTGTAGCTTAGGTTGACTTAAACTCTTGTCTCTCTTGCTTCAACCTAGTCAGGGCTAAGATTACAGGCATGGATGCTACACCCATCTGGACTTTATATTTTTAAGTCCATTGTTCTTTCTTTAACTTATTCATTCTGGTTTAATTTCTTTCCAAGACAGAGGTTAGGTTCAAATTCAAATGGCCTCACTAGGTACCTGTGGAGTCTTGGGCAAGTTACTTTCTGAGCATCATAGCCTTCATTTCAGGATGGAAACAACAATACCACAGAAAAATGACCCCTGTTCATCCCAAAGACCAGAGATAATGACTAGTAAGTGCCCAGCACAGACCGACACCTAGCAAGTGCTCATTAAATGGGAGCTGGCTTTATTATTGTACTTACAATAACAATTCTCTTTTTATTCCTGGAAGAGACAAGGCCCTTTCTGACTCCTTCCTCCCGTGGCGGTCAACAGTGCCTCTGAAGGCCAGTATTCTGCAAGGCAGAGTCTGGGACAGTTCCTTATCCAGGGCCACGTCCCTCCCGTTCTCAGCCCTCCAAACCCCACCGAACAAGCTCTTCCAGTTTTCAGCCCGCCTCCTTCCCATGTGACCTCATTACGGCCTCACAAAGGGCATTCCAGGGCTCCAGTGAGCTCTGTACTTAACTCCCGGCTCTGTTCTCCGGGCATCTATCTTCTCGTGGGCGTGGGCTTCTGCAAGCCACTGGCACTATATCCCATTTCCCAGCCCTCTCCCCCTCCCCCCCACTGCTGCAACAATCTTTCAGTTCTCGGATTCTACACTCAGACCTTCACCCAGGCCTTGGACAGGTAACTTTACTGCCTGCTACAATTTTGCCTTTGTAATCAGGAGCACTGGCCAGACTTCAAAGGCGCCCTTCTCCCTATTTCCTCTTCCCAGATTTGATAATCATCCTCACCAGTGCACCCTCCATTACCTGAACTTAGAACCACTTGACTTTTATCTTGGGCGGCAGGACACACCAGCATCATAAAATATAGCTCTTGCTGCTTGGGGAAAAGCAGACTAGGGCTGGTCCACCTCTCAGCTCTTGGATTTTCGAGACAGGGTTTCTTATTGTAGCTCTGGCTATAATGGAACTCACCCTATAGACCAGACTGGCCTCAGAGATTGGCCTGCCTCTGCCTCCAGAGTGTTGGGTTTAAAGACATGCACCCTCACTGTCTGACTTTTTTTTTTTAATTTTTATTTATTTATTTTTTTGAGACGAGGTCTTACATAGCCTAGGCTGGTTTCAAACTCTATTTTGTAGCTGACACTGGCCATGGATGATCCCCATGCCTCCATTTCCTGCCTGGCCATTGTGTATCATTTCAAGCTACAGAAGAAGATCATATTGGGGAGAGAGAATCTCCCTGTGGAACAGCAGAGCTGGTGAACCAGAAGGCAGAGAGCAGATGCGCTAGACCGCTGGTGAAGCAGGAAAGCCTAGGGGAAAGCCCAGCTCCCAGAAAGTCTACTTTGGGGTTTTGCATATCACAGGCCTAGTGTTTGGTGGAAGAATGAAAACTGGGGCTGGAGCGATGGCTCAGTGTTCGCGAGTACTGGCTGCTCTTCCACAGGACCTGGTTTCCACTGCCAGCACCCACACTGGCAGCTGACAACTGCCTATACCTACAGTTCCAGGGAATCTGACACTCTCCTATGACCTCCGTGGGTACACATGTCGTGTCGAAACACACATGCAGGCAAAACGCCTTATACACATAAATAATTTTTTTGTTTTGTTTTTGTTTTTTGTGGTTTTGATACAGGGTTTTTCTGTGTAACAGTCCTAGCTGTCCTGGAACTTTCTCTGTAGACCAGGCTGGCCTCAAACTCACAAAGATCCACCTGCCTCTGCCTCCCAAGTGCTGGGATTAAAGTCTTGCGCCATCATTACCCAGCTAGAATATTTTTTTTTAATGAAGAAATAAACTGAATTTGAATCCAGTCACCATACAGTTCATAGAAGAAACATGAATTGCTAAATGCCCAGCCTGGCTCATACCTATCTGAGATCTTCAAAACTTGCTTTCAGCTCAACGCAGCACATAGCTACAGTTCCTATTACCTGGGAGGATGGAGTGGGAGTATTGCTTGGGCCTGAGCAATACGGCAAGGTCCTACCTCAAAAACAAACTTGCTTTCTCACAGAAGAGGAAAATGAACTCTAGCTAAAGAGTTGGAGTTCTCCTAGATTGAGCCTCTACCCTGTCTGCATCACCATTTCTCCAGGAATACAAGCTAGAGAGGCAATGTGGCCTGGAACAACACCCGTCAGCCTGCCTCCTTCCCATGACAGCACATAGCCCGGCACAGAGCTGCAGCACAGGCTCCTGGGTCAAAAGGTTTCAGACTCCATCCCTGTTTCTAGGGCTTAGCAAGCCAGAGAGGCTGGGTCTATCTCTGCCCTGATCAGCTTCCTTCTTCCTGATAGGATTTAATAATATCTCTTCTTTCTTTCTTTTTCTTTTTTCTTTTCTTTTTCTTTTTTTTTTTTTTTTGAGACAGGGTTTCTCTGTGTAGCCCTGGCTGTCCTGGAACTCCCCCACCCTCCCGTGCTGGGATTAAAGGTGTGCCCCTTGACCGCTCAGTTTGCTTGCCAGCCACAGTGAAGGCAGAGGAGTCTTGATGCAGATGCCTTTTCGGGGCTCCTCCATGTTTAGGGGTAAGAAAGGTGTGTCCTGAAATTGGAGGTCACAGCTTAGACTGCAACAATGGTCCTCCTGACAGGCTCCTGTCCTGTCCCGTCCCGTCCGGTCCCAGAATCTCTCACCCCATAGAAAAGACGTCATTCTTCCATTTCAAAATGTACCTACCTATCCTCTTCTCAGAGGGTGTCAAAGTTTCACACTGTACCTAGACCCATCACCGGGAAAACAGCCTCCGTGGGGGTTCCTCACCCCATCCTCTGCCTACCCTCTTTGTTTAGAAGATTCAGAAGCAGAAGCAAGAGCTGACTACTGGGGTTGCTTCAGAGGGGGAAACTCAGCCACCACTCGTTGCAAGCCTCTTATAACATCACACAGTCATACAGCCACACAGTGATGCATCCATCATCAATGCATCCAGTGAGACCATAGCAGAGGTTGCAGTTGGAGCATAGCCCATTCTGGTGCTCCTTATAAAACTGATGGAAACAGGCCTACTGTGTGACGGAAATGGGCCTACTGTGCGATGGAAACGGGCCTACTGTGCGATGGAAATGGACCTACTGTGCGATGGAAATGGGCCTACTGTGTGATAGAAACAGGTCTACTGTGCGACGGAAACAGGCCTACTGTGCTGACAGCTCTAAAAGGTGTAGCATACACAGACGGACACTGATGATAAGCCACTACTGCCATAATGTAGCTACAATACCCTAGTTCTTCTCTTTGGAAGGAAGACTGAGAAAGAATACCAAAACTTCGAAGGTTAAAGTCTGCTGGGTGGTGGTGGTGCACACCTTTAATCCCAGCACTTGCAAGGCCGAGGCAGGTGGATCTCTGGTCTACAGAGTGAGTTCCAGGACAGCCAGGACTGTTAAAGAGATAAACCCTGTCTCAAAAAACAAACAAAAAAGGTTAAAATCTTAAAGGATGCTGGGTACTTGGGGATTGAGGCAAGTGGATGGTTAGGTTTGAGGCTACACAGTAAGACCTTTTCCAACATCTCCCCCCACACTTCTTAGAAAACACCCTAGTCATGAATTCTAGATACCTATCCTCCACCAGGTGAAGTACTCAGAGTTCAACCTCCAAGAATCCCAGGAGGTCTGAAGATCAGCTGAGTCCTGACACTATCCTATGGCACCACTGAGGCCTGCCGGCCCTATTCAGCTCTTATCCCAAGCTGCCCTTTGCAGAGAAGCCAAGGGCTAGACAGGTAAAACCTAATCCTTTCATTTCCAAGATGAACATTCTGGAAGTTCTGCCCTAGGTGCTTCTCGGGCAGGGCCTTACCTCCTTCTGCGGTGAGTTTACTAATTGTCCTTTTATACTTAACCCAATAAATTATTTAAAAAGCACTTTGGCATGTTCTGCCTTATGCTTTCACCATTTCTATTCTGACCAAACTCATGTCCAAGATGGTAGGAATTTAGAAACCTGATAGAGGCAGGTAATGTTCGCTTCCAAAGTCATCATTAAGGTAAAAAAGTTGAAGTTTAAAAGGCCCAAGACTAAAATCAGACAGTCCAGACAGTCCTTATAAACACACTGAAAGAGCAGAGAGCATGGTGAGCATCTGTAATCCTAGCACCAGGAGGCGGGGGTGGGGGGCGACAGAGGCAGCAGGCAGATTCTGGGAGTTCAGAGAGGGTTATACAGAGAAATCTTGTCTAAAAAACAAACAAATAAACACACACACACACACACACAAAGGAGAAAGAAAGAAAAGAAGGAAGGAAGGAAGGAAGGAAGAAAGAAAGAAAGAAAAAAGAAGGAAAACTAAGGAAACTAGAGTGCTTATTTAAATGTGTCAGAGGCTCATGGGAACTACCAGAGGAGTCCATCAGCATCGCTGTTTGATGACGTCAATGCAAGAATGTGAAAGGGTCTAGCTTCCACTGGTCAACTTCACACCCATTCAGGTCTTTCAGCTTGTCTAGCTCAGACCCCAGGGAACGTCAAGTTGTCTTGCTAACCCTGTTCCATGCTGCTGTCTTTCACAGCTGGCTTGTTTTGCAGCTGGAAAGCTCTCCAAGAGCAGATACTGTCTCCAAAAGGGCCAAGTTCAACAAAGTCTTCCCAGCTCAGGCTCTAAGTGGCACACAGTGATGGCAGGCAAAGCTCTACGGTTTGCTTGGCGGATCTCAGTCCCTGGCTCCTGGGCAGGTAGCACGGATTACATTTAGATTCAAAGCCTCAATAAAGAAACAATAGATGGAAACAGGGAGGCTGCACTTAGAAATTACATCAGGAGGAAATAGGTACAAATATGGTCCCCCGCCAACTCGGATGCTCAGTCTATCCTCAGAAGCTGTGGGGCGGAGGGGTGAGGGGAGTTAATACCAGGTTAAAGAGGTTTCCGTTCAGAAGAGGCACTAGCCGGGAAAGGCTCACATTGGAGCCAGCCCCAAGGCTGCAGCATGGGTGCTGACAGCCTCTGACCACAGCTCTAGTTCCTTGTCTGTGGGGTGGCCCTGGGGAAGAGGCCTGCTTTGGGGGGACTGTTTAATGATTTGCCAGCCAAGAACAAGGCAAACAGACTGCTGGCAGCTGAGTGGATGCACCGGGAGAGCAGATATTTTATTCCCACTCACAGAAGGGCCTTATGGGCAGGGAATAAAGGGGAAAGTATGATGGGGTTGGGAAAGCCTGGGGTGTGGGTGCCCTTTGGGGCTCAGCATTTCACTGGGTCTCTGCCCATGGTGCCTGGTGTACATCACAGCATTCATACCAGCTAGTGTTTCCATCTTCTGAATATTTTAATGATGTGTAGCAGCATCTCTGCAGTTCCTGGGAACTCAAAAGAAACATACATAAGAAGCTTTTTTATTTATCAATCCCTAGGATATCCTAAGATAGGTATTGTTTTTTAAAATTTGTGTGTGTGTGTGTGTGTGTGTGTGTGTGTGTGTGTACAAGTGTTCACAGAGGCCAGAGTTATTAAATCCCCTTTGGAATTAGAGCTGCGGGTGCCTTGAGCTGCCTGCTGTGGATGTTTGAAATTGAACTGGGTCCTCTGGAAGGGCAGTATGTATTCCTAACCTTTGAGGCATCCAGCCCTGTAGGCTTTGTTTGTTTTTTATGGTAGAATTCTAAGCATTAAGAGTAAAGCCAGAAAAACACTTGTATGTACAGAAGTATATGTGGGTGTTGGAGAGACGTCTCAGGAGCTAAGAACACATGTTGCTTTTGCAAAAGACCCAGGTTTGGTTCCCAGCACTCACACGGGGGCTAAATGAGCATCTATAAAGCCAGTTCCAGAGGAGTTGACCCCTTTCTCTGGCCTCTCCAGGAACTTGCATCCATGTGAACCAGAGATGCTTACCCATATACATAAAATTAGATTATCTTTTTTTAAGGTATAATGAGAGAGTTTTGTTGTATACAAAATTCCTTTTTCTTTTCTCTTTTTTGTTTTCTTTTGGTTTTTCAAGACAGGGTTTCTCTGTGTAGCCCTGGCTGTTCTGGACCTCACTCTGTAGACCAGGCTGGCCTCAAACTCAGAGATCTGCCTGCCTCCTGAGTGCTGGGATTAAAGGTGTGCACCACCACTGCCTGCCACATTCCTTTTCCTTTGTGTCCCACGGATTTTTTTCCTATCTCCTTTACAGATCAGGGGATGAATGGCACTTCTGTTACATCCTGTGAGCCAAAGACTCCAAGATTTTCACTCTTACACTGCTTTTTGCCCCCTACTCCTCAGAACTGGGTCCTTATGGAGCCCCCTGACCTGCTCTTAGTTCCTAGAGTGAAGCACCTTTCCCCACAGCCATCTGTTTAAAATTCTTGAAGGACAGAAGGGCTGGGATCTCCCAGAGCTGGGGTTACAAGTGAGGTGATTACAAACCACCTGGACGGATGCTGGAATTGAACTCGCGTCCTCTAAAAGGACAGTCCCTGCTCTTAGCCGCCGGGCCACCTCCCCAGCCCCTATCCAAATTCTTAAGTGACTGTTAGTATTAATTGGCATTCCACTGGGGCCCCTCCCTTTGGTCACTTCCTCTGTGAGCGGGCCTGGTTAGAGTAGGTGCTCAATAAAATATTAGTCATGTCCTCGTTTCTGCAAAGTACATCCTGAGCTCCTCCAGGTCAGAGGCAAGGGCTCCTCACTGCTTGCACAATCATGAGAAAAGAAAGCATGCTAGATCACATTTTAACAAGCCAATAGAAGGCAAATTTGGCAATTGCATTTTCATTTCATCAAGGAAGAACTATCTTCAGATTCCTGCCCTCTAAAACCCAGTGAAAGTCTCCGCAACACTCCACATTGGTGCCTGGCCTTGCGCTCCTCCCCAGTGCTGGGATACAAGCACGTACCTGATATCTAGTTCTGCATACGCCTTATAAGCTCAAAGTCACAGATGTTTGACCTCATAAAAAGGGAGAGTTCTCATCCTTCCTTTTACCCATCATGCCTAAGCCTTATCTATTAATTTGAGCAGGACTAACCTTTTCCAAGGAAGCCTTCCTCCTTAATGACTACCCATTCAGAATCAGTAAGGGGAACCAAGAAACATTCCAAAAAGCTCTCCCACCACCACCTGCCAAAGGAATGACTCTGCTCACCTGAGACATAAATCAGTTATAAGTTTTCTATAGCCAGTATGTGCATGCACACAGACAATGTTTTCAAGTCACGTGTCAATAGCACAGAGAATGCAAACGCACAGCGTTGCATATTGAGGAATGTAGAATGTGGGCATATACTAATGTGTCCTCTCTACATGGCTTTGGGAGTATGCTCTCTTGTCATCTGGGGCCCTGATAAGAATCTTCAGATCTGAAGGACAGTTATTTTGGGGTGAGAAATCATTTATAGACAACTGAATCAATTTGAGAAAAGATCAGTCAGCGGTGATGGCGCACGCCATTAATCCCAGCACTTGGGAGGCAGAGGCAGGTGGATCTCTGTGAGTTTGAGGCCAGCCTGGTCTACAGAGTGAGTTCCAGGACAGCCAAGGCTACGGAGAGAATCCCTGTCTCGAAAAAACAAAACAAACCAAAAAAGTGGGGGGTGGGGGGAGAAAACGTCTCTTTAAAGTTGCCCCAAAGAAGCATTTGCTCTCCATGGAGACTGGGGGACTGGCTTCAGCTTTAGTTGACTGAGCGTTTCCGGTGAACTTCACTCCCTACCAAGATTTTATGACGACCAGGCCCATGGGCTGCATAAAGAAGTTCTGGGAACATTTAGAGTCAATTCAGCCCCAGTACTATTCTGTAGGTTTTCTTTTCTGAGTAGGTTTTTCTGTTTACTTTTGAGAGATGAATTAATTTCTTTCCTCTATCCTATATACTCAGAAAACTTGATATAGGTGAAGCCCATGATCCCCACTACGGTTCTTTGTTTTAGCTTCCCAAGTGCCCCCTGAGCAGCTTCCAGCCTGCTCGGTACCTGAGGGTGTCTGCAGGCCACCTCACAGCAAAGGCCCAGGTATGCTCAAATATTCCAAACATCCCTTGACTTGTTCTTTGTGGACCGTGAGCGCTTTGTTATTTCCTAATTGCTCAAACCTCTTTATTTTTCTAGCCAGGCCCAGATAGTGAAGAGATACAGAAGAGATAAATGGAAGCAGACTCCTCTCCCTTATCAAGCTGCTGCTGCAAAGACGTTCTGCTGGTGCTGGTCGGGAGACTCAGAGAAACGCACAGGCACACTGAATGGGCCAGAAAAGTACTTAGAGAATCAGGGAGGGGAGCCAAATTCCTAGGTTGGAGAGTTCACAGGGCAACTGGATCAATACAGCACTTTTGATCTGCACAGTTATCAAGGTACAAAGCACCACTACCCTTTGTCCTCTTTCTTTCTCACTCCGGTAATGGAACTCTTTACCCTAAATTAAGATTATATTTAGCTTTGATGTTGCTTTTAGATTTGCAAAGTGCTTTATAAGCCTTCATTAGCGATTTTATTCTCATCTCATTAGCATCACCCCCTTCACAAAGCAGGTAACCCTAGAACCAACACAAGGGGTGCTCAGCCTCTGACCTGAACCCTGCCCAGAGACTCATAGGCTCAAGCTGATGGAGACTTGCTAGACCACGGGAGGGAGTGTGGAGCAAAAGAGCCAAAATCTTCACAAGAGTTTTCTTGGATGGAGAGAGAGACCCAAAGGCCAATTACTCTCCAATGGTTTGATCAAAGCTAGCACACTGTTATGCTAATTTGTTGGTAATAAAACCTAGAGTTCTCACTAGTTCAAATTAAAAGGCATGGCAACTAAACATGTCTTTAATAGGAAAACAGTTCTCTGGATTGACTGACTGCCTCCATAAACAGGCTGAGAACAGAGAAAAAAGAAAGCATTTGACCGTGATCAACACTAACACTGCTGAGGAAGGCCCCTCAGTGCCTCTGCCCCTGAACACCCTCTCTATTTTCCTCACTTACTGTCTGTGACGCACGACTGAACTAGCTCTCTTCTATCTGCCCTCCACTTGTCGTGAGTTCCTCTTTCTCCTCCTCCTTTGCCTCTCTTCTAATACATACACAGTTCCCAAAACAATATTCTCTCGTCTCTATGCTCTCCCTTCTGGAGTTCTTATACACGCTAGTGTTTTCAGATGAGACTTAAATCAGGTCTCTAAGTCAAATTGGCCTGTGCGTCTATAGGCCCATTAGGCGTTATTTTGTTGCTGTCTTAATGGCACCCACAAACTCAAATACATAGAACCGAAATATCACCTTCTGCCAGCATGGAGCCCTAAACTAATAACCATTTGTTCTGTTTTTTGAGAGAGGGTGTCTCTGCATAGCCCTGTGTCCCCAGGAACTCACTCTGTAGACCAGGCAGGCCTCCAACTCAGAGATTCACCTGCCTCTGCCTCCTGAGTTCTGAGATCGAAGGCGTGCGCTGCCACCACAGCCTGGCGCCAATAGCCCTTCTTATCTGACTTATCTTTGTTAGGGTCACCACACCCCGAGTCACTATGAATCTTGCCGTGTCTATTAACTAGTCTTGGGAAACTGCTTTCCCTGTCCCCAGAGTCAGAGACTTTATAGCTGACTCCTAACCGGTCTCTCGGCATTCTAACCCTCTGTGGATCCTGCGAGAACAATATCCCTAAACAAAATGCTAATCGAATCACCATTCTGCTCAGATGTCGACAACCTTCTGAATGTCACTTCGACTCATCTCCTCGGGGACAGCCCCGTTTCACTCCTAAACCACCGCTTGCCCAAAACAAGGGTATCACGGTTCTCACGGTCTCTGGGAATCTGTATCATCCCCTTTCTACAGTGTAAGCAAACCCATCCCACTTAGCCTTCGTGTCCGTGCTGCTTCTTTCACGGAGAGGAGAATTTCTTCTTTAAATAAATGCCCAGGCTGGGTGGTGGTGGTAACTCACGCCTTTATTCCCAGCACTCGGGAGGCAGGGACAGGTGGATCTCTGTGAGTTTGAGGCCAGCCTGGTTTACAAAGTGAGTTCCAGGATACTAGGGCTACACAGAAGAACCCTGTCTGGGAGGGGGAAAAGTGAAATAGAAATGTCCACAACATCTTGCTCTGTCCTTTTATTATGTAATAAGTTTTGATTTCCGAATTCCATGGGAGCATAACCAGGGAAGGCTTGTCTTCGTCTCTCACAAATTACAAAGTCCTGACATAATTAATGATCCATAAATGTATGCTTTACTGATATTGGAAGCTTGAGCATTTGGTCTCCCGAAAGTGTGTTTGAGTTACACAGTAAGACAACGGCAAGAGAAGTTGGGTGAGTCTGGAGTCAAATCCAGGCCACTTCAGTCAGCAGGACTGGCCAGACTGTGTTCCTGCTTAAGGCACAGCCGGTGGGCTGGTGGCTGAGCCATAGAAACCCATCTGCATACTTTTATTTTATTTTACTTCACTTTGTGTGCTGAGGTTGGGTATCTTCCTTGGCTACTGCCCACCTTGTTTGTTGAAACATCTCTCCCTGCATCTGGAGCTGGACTGGATGGTCCTCTCCCAGCTCCCACCTCACCGCCCAGTGCTGGGGTTCTCGGTGCTTGCTTCTGCATCCGGCTTTTCACCTGGGTGCTGGAATCCAAGATCAGGCTCCTACATCAGTGGGGAGCTCACTTTCCCTACTGAGCTATCTCCCTGGCTCCACCTGACGCTATCCAAAAACCAGCTTTACTATTTGCTTATGTGTGTGTGTTTGGCTTGCAGATATGCATATGTGCCGTGTGTGTCTGGTGCCCATGGAGGTCAGAAGAGGGCATCCCTCTTCTGGTCTGAAGGGTTGTGAGCAAAACTGTGGGTGTTGGGAACTGGACCCCGTCCTCTAGAAGAGCAATAGCAGCTCTTAACCGCTGAGCCATCTCTCCGGCAACTCTCCCTTCCCCACTTTGAATACATTTAAATGAGAGAATACTTCTCATGGAACTAAGCAAGGCAAATCACACGACTCCCATATTAGGAGTCAGCCTCTACTGGGCTGACAATGACTCCACCCATAAGGAAAGAGGACTCCAACAGCCGTGTCGTTCATGGGTTCTGAAGGCGGCTCGGCAAAGATGTAAGTATACCTTCCTCTGGCTGTCTTCCAGTCCTTTGCTCTTGGCCCAGTTAACAAATGGGTAATTATATGACATCAGCCACCATGGAGTGGCTGGCACATAAGGTGGCCTCATAGTGCCATATAATGTGGCACCAAGTTTCTGAATCATCAAGTCCAGGTGCATCGACCCCCCCCCCCCCCCACATCCCCGCTTCACAAAAGCCGCCTTATCTGCTACATCTGTTGACACAGTGACTATGGGAAGGGCACTTTCCTTTGCTCTTCTTTGGTGTTTGTTCTCTGCCCGGGTGGGTACTCCTCTGTGGATGCCTATAAATGAGCTCTTATGGTGAATGACTGACACCCAGTCGCTCCACCATGACTCTGTCCTCATGTAGGCTGACCTCAGAAAACAGCAGCAGATCTAATTGCTAAGCCAACACCTAACTGGATAGTTCAAAGGCCAAATCCCCCTTCCTAGCCAAATAACCAACGACTGTCTGCCAGTAAGCCCATACTGACCCCAGGCATTATCAGACCTGGGTCTGGAACTGCTTTTCTCCCCAAAATAGTAGCCACTTTCTTTCACGCTGCCTGGAGTAGGGAGGATCAATGGCACCCAGAGTTCCTTGTCGCTATACGGGGAATCCCCTGATGTGACCCCTGAGCATGTAGAGATGGGCAGACACGCATAGCTCCTTGTCATGCATCAGAATCGTACTAATAGATGACCTTTTACAAAGTTGGCAAGAGTTTGACGAGCAGCTGCTTCCTTCCTAAGACTGTGCTGGGCTGTACCCGGGAGCCACAGTCTCCTAAGGAGGACACGCATGACACATGCGAGGCCATTGGTGCTGCAAGGTGCTATCAAGTTCTGCACTCTGGGGCAGCCAATAGCCCCGTGGGCAGTGAGGTCTTCAAATAGCTCTTAAAGGGGGCAGGGTTTAGACAGGAGAAAAACAGCCACATTAAAATAAAAGGCAGGATCTGTTTTTTTGTTTGTTTGTTTGTTTTGTTTTGTTTATTTTTGTTTTCGGGAACATCTTAGTTTTTTTTTTTTTTGGAACATCTTAGTTTCAGCCTTGAGATGACATGAAGAACTAGGTGAGGGATGTTTCTCTCAGGTCTTCAAATAACAGGGAGACTTGTCTGGCTGAAAACCAGAGCTGAAAGCATCTGGCTAGGCCGGAAAGCCATTTGACATGCAGGGTCGACTACCTGAGCCTGAACCCCAGAACCCCCCAGTGCAAGGAGAGAAATGACTCCCAAAAGCTGACCTCTGACCTCCACATGCTTGCCCTGGTACATGTAAACTGTGCATGTGTGCGTGCGCACACACACACATACACGTGCACACTCACACACTCATCCACATCCACACACACACACACACACTCAGTAGTAATAATAAAGATGAATAAGTAATTTCTAGAGTTTGGAGAGCTGAGAGGGTCAACGCTATGAACGCTACTTGAACGGAAGAGTGGGACACTCTGGTGCACCCCATTCTAAACAGGCTGTCTTCATCAAAGCCCTCCCCTCAGGACTCAGGGATCTGTGTGGAAGAGGAGGCAGAAAGACTGTAAGAACCAAAGAGGATGGATGGCAGCCACTTCCTGACCACAGGGCTGATGCACACACGAACTCACAGACTGTGGCAGCCCGCACAGGACCTGCACGGGGTCCCAGTTCTGAGAGGAGGAAGTAGACATGGGCTCCCATTCCTAATTAAGAAGCAAGCTGTAATGAACAATGGTTTCTCCAGTGTTGCCTCACTGGGTGTATCAGCCACACTGCACGGCAGGCCCAATACTCAGTAATTGGCCAACACAAAATGAACTAAATGGTATTCTTGTAGACTGTTGTCTCATTTTACATTATTTGGGCATTTTTTTTGGTCCTATGGGTCTGTTGCTTGTATATTTTGGTTTCCATTTGTGTGGGTTTTGTGTGTGTGTGTGTGTTCCTTTTGTTTTTATTTGTTTTTTAAAGAGAGAAGGCAAGGAATTGGGGGAGGATCTGAGAAGAGTTGGGAGAAAGAGTCATGAGTTTGTCCTCCCATATGAGGAAAAGAGCTCACCTTAGCTTCTGAACAAGGGGTACTTATTATCGAAACAGTGTTGTGTAGGGTGTTGCTCATGCCTGCAAGCCCAGCACTGTGAGGCCGAGGGAGGAAGAGTGATCATGAGTTGGAGGCCAGCCTAAGCAACGTAAGGGGTTCAAGGCTAGCCTGGGTACATAGAGCAAAATTCTGTCCCAAACAAACAAACATCCCCTACACACACACACACACACACACACACACACACACACACACACACACCACCTCAATATTGTAAGCATCTTGATTTTACCCTGAAGATAAACACAGTAGTGGAAAGAAGAAGGAAAACTGGTGGTGGAAATCAACCCAGAACAGCTCTCCCAAGAATCCAGCCTGGTCCATGAGGGCTTGGCCTCCGGCAGTAGCAGTTGGAAGGGGTGGACCAAAGATGTTATGGAGAAAATGCTGACAGTATTTGCTGGCAGATTGGACAACAGGGATGAAGGAGAGGGAGGAGCTGAAGTTCTAAACCTGAGAACTGAGGGTGCAGGGGGCGTCTGTCTCACTTCAGTCGTTCACATACTAAAACTGGACCAGCGCAAGGGTTGTGAGTTGGAGGTCATCCTGGGCTACCTGGGCTACACAGCGAGTTCCAGGGCAACCTGGGCTACATAGGGATGTACTACCGCAACAGCAATGAGGAATTAGAGTCTGAGTGAAAGAGCTGAAAGTCTAAGCTCGCAAAAACGCTGTCTATATTAGACCTGGTAGTAGGATGGAACATTTTAAATGCTAAGATTAATACGTGAAAATGCTCATAAGGAAGAAATGCCGGGGAAGTTGTTTCTGGCTGGTTCTTGGTCAGTTAAGTCTGGAGGGATGACACTGTGCTGTTTGCTAGGCCACAGTGTGACTCAGACCGGCTTGGTTTCTCTTTCTTATTTTAAAATTTTAATGTGATTTATGTTGATGATGATGGTGGTGGTGGTGGTGGTGGTGGTGGTGGTGGTGGTGTGTGTGTGTGTGTGTGTGTAAGAGAGAGAGAGAGAGAGAGAGAGAGAGAGAGAGAGAGAGAGAGAGAGAGAGTGGTGCTCAGGTAGAGGCCAGAGAACAGCTTGGAGGAATCGGTCTTCTCCCTCTCCCTTCACGTGAGGTCTGGGGACAGGACCCAGGGCGCCAGGCTGGTAATGTTGAACATCAAGGGCCTTTACCCACTGAGCCTTCTCACAGACTCCACCTAGTTT